TATTTCAGGCAGTGGGAGGAATTGCTATATTTACAGAATGTTCTCACACTTTGAACATTTTCCCCCCAGTTCTTCCCATTTCAAAATGATGCATCTCATGTCTAATAAATGCAGCAATCTGTGTAAATATGGAGACAGTCTATTTTCAGAAACATTTCCAGCTCAAACGATCTTGCCAATTCCCCTTTAAGCTTTCTTCCTGGGCTTTAGATGGAATTCCTACTGAGGACTTGGATCGGAGGTGAGGCACTGAGTTGGAGGTGGGGATGCAGAGGAGGAGGTGAGGGAGAGACATGGACATGGCTGAAAGATTAAGGAGGAAAGATGGCCTGAAATCACCCCTGGGCTGTGGGTGAGCCATAGACTACAGCTGTAAGAGGAGGAGACTCATCACCCAGCTCATGTCATGTGTTGCATTATTCCTGATGCTCAGAGCCCCAAAGTGTTCTTAGATGTCACTAGGTTGTTACACATCTAAGTGCGGGGGTGCTACACTAGACAGGTGAGCACATTTTACACCGGTTGGACTGTGAGAGAATTCCACAGCAGCTGCCAGCAGCGTTGTTAGTGCTCTCCAGCCAAAGCTAGGGAAGGCCATATTCCCCAAATGTAAATAAGTGTGGGGAGGGACAGACAGACTGTTCAGAATCTGGTCTGGGGATAGGTAGAAAATATATGCAGGGTCTCATTTACCTCATTACAGGAATGGTGTGCCACCATTCCTGGCCCAGACAGGTTTTTCTTTATGTGAGAATTTTATAATTTTCCTGATCAAACAGCCAAAATATTTTTTGTTTGTTTTAGAAACAAGGTCTCACAATATAGCTCAGTCTGGCCTCAAACTCTATACTCATCTCACATCAGGCCTAAATAAGATAAAATTTTGATCATATACTATTTTATTCTATAGTATCAAATTTTTGTTACCTTCTCTTTGGTGATTAGACTTTGTCTATCTTTTTGTCTTACAAATAATGTTTTCACAAGTATCCTAGCTTGGTAAGTTTATCGCTATGTGACCTTAAATAATTTACTAATTGACTTGGTTAACCTGAGAAGAGCAGTTTAAACACTAAAGAAAAAAAAAAAATGGGCGATGGTGGCACACACCTTTAATCCCAGCACTTGGGAGGCAAAGGCAGGTGGATCTCTGGGTTCGAGGCCAGTTTGGTCTACATAGGGAATTCCAGGACAGCCAGGACTACACAAAGAAATCCTATCTCAAAAAACCAGAACCAAACCAAACAAAAACCAAGAACCTCCCCCTCCAAAAAAACAAAACAGTGGCTGCTATACAGTAAGCATTAAATATGTGTTAATTTCTTTAAAAATCATTATTAACCCTTCCCTTAAATCTACATCACTGTCCTTTAAAGTTCTCAGATACTGAATTACTAGATGTCATGGGTTTGAGTATCAATGAGTCCCTGATACATGTGAGAAATGAGGTTGTAGTGCTCTGGAAAACATGTCTTTCGGTGGCAAATTACAAAGACATTCATGGTAACCAAAAAGTATTTAAAAGCAGGTATTTAAAAATGAGATTTTACATTAAGCCATCTTGCTGATAAGAAAATGAAAGCTTAAGTTCTTTTTTTCTTACAGAAAACATCACTGCTTTAACTTCAACACCCATGGATTTATATTAAAACACAGAAATAACATTTGCCTTCAATGGACTGCTTCCACTGCAACCTGAAAACAGGAAATCAGGTTTTAACACAGGAGAACCCAATGCTAACAGAACATGAAGCCTTTTCCATGATCTCTCTTTTACTCTAGTTTAGCATGAGAATTTTTTTTTTTTTTGAGCTGAGGATCGAACCCAGGGCCTTGCGCTTGCTAGGCAAGCACTCTACCACTGAGCTAAATCCCCAACCCTGAGGATTTTTATATTCATTAGGTCATTAGTGTTGGAATTCCTGGCCACTCCCCCAGCTACATGACCGCACATGCGAAGTTCAGTAGGCAAGTAAGGGGCCTTACGTCCTACGTAATCAGTGTGCTGCATGATCTCATAATTGTGCACAGAGTGATCACACAATCGATGTGCATGCGTGTGTAGCTCCGGAAGCCCATATGCGCATGTGCAGGGGAATCCATAAGGAGCTGGACACAGACTCCTTCCCTTTCTTCTCCTCCCCTTACCCCTCTCTCTGCACATGTCTTCTACAGGCATGGTCATGCTCTCTTCTGTCTCTCCCTTCTCCTAATAAAACTCTGATAGTGGGTTTTGTCATGCCTTGTGGCCCTTCTCACATGGTTACAGCGCGGCTTAATAAATCACACAGCGCCTCCGCATGAAAACCAACAGTTAGCATACTCATTTTGTTTCCTATCTGCTGGCACATATTTCAGAGATCAAATTTCTTCATCTTTCATATGGTAAACATTAATAATCCTCATGACTCTTGGAACAGTAGGAAAGAGCTATTTCTGTGTTTACTAGAGATATGATTCATTCATTCATTTTATTTATTAAGAAAGTAAATGCAAGCCAGATTAAGACATTTGAGATACAAGAAAGAATCTAGCAGGAGACTTATATGCAAAATTAAAAAAAATATTTATTTATTATTATATGCACTGGTGTTTTGCCTGCATGTATGTCTATGTGAGGGTGTCATATCCCTGGAACTGGAGTTACAGACAGATGTGAGCTGCCATGTGGGTGGTGGGAATTGAACCCAGGTTAGAATAGCACCCAGTGCTCTTAACACCTGAGCCATTTCTCCAGCTCCACTCATGTAAAATGTTTTTATGTTGAATGGGGATTCACACAAGAAGGGCAGAGAATTTTAAAAGGAACTTTACAAGAATATTCCAAAAATAGGCAGAGATGTCACTGCCTCTTAGGGAAATTCAAGTTATAACCTATAACTTTTAAAAAGATGATAAGAGTTGGGGTATAGCATAACATTATAGTACTTCTCTAGCATGTGAAATGGCCTGGACTCATTCCCTATACCACAGGGAAGACACAAAGACAATAGCAGGAAACTCTTGGTTGTTGTTGCAATCATAAGGGGAAGAAGGGGTTGGGGATTTATCTCAGGGGTAGAGTGCTTGCCTAGCAAGCACAAGGCCCTGAGTTCGGTCCTGGGGCGGGGGCGGGGGGCAGAAGAGATGGGGGAAGAAGAAGAGACACACAAAAGAATATAATCTACAATACCAATTACATGAGGCTTCAGAACACATGAGACCAATCTGTTTGTAATAGAAGTCAGAACAGAGTAGTAACTGGCAAAGAGTATCTCTTGGGAAAAGGTAGAAGATCTGAAAATATTCTATGCACTGGCTATGTAGTGATTACCTGTATAAACATTTGTAAGTTATATACTTAAAACATTTTGTCATGGGTTATAGATGAAGGTTGATGTTAAGAATGCTTGCATAACACATTCAGTTCACAACACTCAACAAAACCAAACATCTCATTTTCCTTTAAACTTCATAAATAGGTAATTTTCTAAGGGACCAGAAAATGAACAGATGGACACCGTCATTTAGTACTTACTTTGGAAGCTGCCCAATCAATCCAGCCTTTAGCACACGGGTCAACGTTAATGAGCACAAGACCTTCTACCAGCTCTGGATGATTGAGCTGAAGGAGAGACAGAGACAACTGTGAGACTCCCACTCTCTTAAAGCAGTCGACATGGTCAGCAGGTTTGTGCTAAATCTCACTGCCTCTGTCTGGAAGGAAGCCTGCAGAGAGGTGCTCTGGAGCACCTACAGACAATAATACCTCTGGAAATCTGACCCAGCACCTGGAAACCAGTCTCTCAAAATGCTGTCCAGCCATCTTCCCTTGCATGGGGCTTAGGGAAGACCAGAGTTCTGTTGCTCCAGCAGAGGACAGCATGCTGCAGTGGTTCAACTCCTAGGGGGACTTCCTTAGGAGCAAGTGTGCTAAACACTTGCCATAGGGGCTTATGTGGGTTGCTGTGGTCCAACACGGGCTCCTGAAATGTTTTTCCTGAAGTCATCTGAAGAGGCAATGCCACCCCCAAAACCACGTTCCTTGGATCCAGGAGGAACGTCACAGCAGGAGTCCTTCCACAGGGTTTGGTAGGAAAGTGCAGTCCCATTGTTTTGTCACATTATGGTGTCAGTTCTGCTCAAGCTCACTTTTCATGGCTTTAACAATCCCCCCAGAAGCCGCATCTGGGTCTCTACAGTGTCCTGTCCTCATGTGTGGATTTTCAGATCCTCTATACACAAAGCAAGCCTTTACACACACATGTGGCTTGAACAGCTGGAACTTACAAAGCCAACACAAGCAGGCACCTGGCTGGGACCCCCACACTCTCTGCCTCAGGAGTTGAGACTAATCCTTCCTGTACTTACCGCGAATCGGCTGAGGATGTAGGCTCCTGCTCCAACTCCAATACCAATGATGCCCTTCAGACTGTGAATAGGACACATCAACAATTGACAAAGTCAACTACCTTTGGAAAGAATATAAGCTGGGTGTATATGCAGGGTCTCACAAAGTTTCCTAGACAAGCTTCTTTAACTTCTCCAACTTCAGTGTCTTACCTATATTAACAAGGGTAACTCCACCTACTTTCAAATTTCCTCTTATAGTTAAATGAAATATGCTGTGGGTGTGGTGATGCACACCTTTAATCTCAGGACTTGGGAGGCAGAGGCAGGCAGATCTCTGTGAGTTCCAGGTCAGCCTTGTCTACATTGTGAGTTCTAGGACAGCCAGGACTACAAGAGAGATGCTGTCTCAAAAATTGTATATATATATATGCCTCAAATCTGGAATTCATTTTCTCTACCACCTCAAAATTCATCAGCAAATCATGTCAAAACTACCCAGAAATATTTCCATTAGTTACTATTCTCCATGCATTTTGCTTTTACTCCTTTACAAATGACTAGAAGAGGAATAATCCTATTTTTTGGTTGTTTTTTGTTTTGTTGAGACAGGGTTTCTCCGTGTAGTTTTGGTGCCTGTTCTGGATCTCACTCTGTAGCCCAGGCTGGCCTCAAACTCAGAGATCCACTTGCCTCTGCCTCAGAGTGCTGGAATTAAAGGCGTATGCCACCATCGTCCGGCAATCCTTTTTTTTTTTTTTTTTTAAAGTTAAATAGTTTTACCAATGTGTAATTTATATACCTACAGCAATCTTTTTAAAAGTCTAACTTGTGTATCAGTCCAGGATTAAAATCCTTTGATGTTTTTCCTTTTTACCAATAAGGACACTGTCAACTTTTATCTAATCTTTCAGATCTATGGAATCTGGTCTGTGTTTCTCAGACTTTATAACATGCCTTTCTTCCACTCGATCTTATTAATTAGTCTTTCTTTTTCCCTGGCTCTCTGTCCTAGCCTATATGGCACCTATCCAGAGAGACATTACCTAGCTAGCTTCATTTATGAGGAGCCTGCTTGCTCTTTTATCTATCATAATAGCCACAGACTTCTTTGTACTGATACTGCTTGGTGCTAAGGACCAATCTCAGAGCACAATACTTGCTAAACATGTGCTCTATCACTGAGATACACTCCAGCCTACTCTGTCTAAGTCGTTTATTATGATTATCTCTCACCGACACCCATGTCCCAACTATGCAACAAACGTGATGAGTCTTCTGTTTGTGAATCACTGTATTTATATTTAGGGAATATAAAGTATTAAAATAAAACGATAATCTATTGTTTTGTTTTGGAAGGTTATCTGTTTATTGGGAGTGAAAGCCTGGGTTTCATTTGTAGCAATGAGGGGGAAGAAAGTGGAAGACTATAGAATCTACTCACCTTAAGTGTGTAAGAACAGGGGGCAGCATTTCAGCTAGCTCGTCCATGGTGGGGTACTGATACCTGAAACCCAGAAAGACATCTCTTCTGAATTAGAAAGCACCCACAGTTCCCAGTCACTAGGAGACCTTGACCAGTCCAGGAGTCTTAGAGAAACACATGATTTTTTTTTTTTTTTAAACCAAAGGCTCAAAGGATGTGATGAAACAACTTGTGGCCTGCTCCATAATCCTCCATGACTGCCATGTGAGGAAGGGAGTAAAAGTCCACACTCTTTATGACAGAGGAAGCTATAGGAAGAGAACTGGTTAGATGGCCCACTATGTGCAATTTCCAAACCCTTAACATTCGCTCCCAGGCTCAGATTCCTGAGTCAACTCAGGAAGTAGCTCGCAGTCTGCCAATCATATTTAGGCAGTTAAATATAACAGGAAACACAGTTTCCTAGGCCTATGCTCCATTATAAAACTTGGGTTCCTCAGAATAAATGTCATTTATTTCACTTAGGATAATACATATTGTACTAGAGTGTGTGTATGTGTATGTGTGTATGTATATAGTAAATGGGCTCCTATATAAGGAGGCAGGATGGGCTCTATAACCAACAGGGAGCTCAGACTGTATGTGGTAAACACTCTAAGGGATAGAGTGTTCTCAAAACTATTTATGCACAAGTCAGGAAAAATCTTGATGGATATCACCTGGGCGAATGACAACCTGTCTTTGAGAGACACAACAGCTTGGAAAGGTCAACTAAGATTCTGTAACAAGACTTCTTGGGTTGGAATCCCAGCTCAGCTACTTATTTGTACACTGACATAGACCCTCTAGGGTTCTGTGGATCAAGGGCGCTAACAACAAGCATTTAAACAACAAGAGCCTGGCTTCTATGCAGGTGCAGACTCTCCATTATCTTTGGAATGTTTAAGCTCCAGAAGTCACTAGGAAATGAAGCACACACAAGAGGGGAAGGTCTCCCTCCTCCCTCCAAAGCTCTCACTGGCACCCTGCCCAGGGGGCACTTGGGAGTCTGTGACGCTGACATGCAGAGCTAGTTTAGGATGATGTTGAGTGCCAAGGCCAGTCAGATGGTGCCCTTGCCTGTCAAGATGGCTCCAGGGTGAATGGTTCCCCAGGTGTCCAAAATCTACACTTGATCTTAGCCAAAAGGCCGAGAAGCGATCCAAAATCTATCTCTAGGTGGGAACTCAGATGGAAAGGTACTCCCAGACTGGCAAGCTCGAAGGCTGAACTGGGTTCAGCCTATGTGTTTGGCACTTTAGGAAGAGACACATGTGACAAATGTAAAACAAAGGAGTCAGGGGACAGATCAGAGTCTGTGAGAAGTGGGTGTTCCAGACACATTCTGTCTTGGGACTATAGGCACACAGGTACTGGCCAGGAAGAGGCATTCCTCTCTCTGTGAAAACACACAACCGTCCTCAACACACTTACACACAGGCTTCTGAGACCAGGGGCAGCAAGACAGGCAAGCAGCACCACCTGTAAGTGTGATACCGTCACAGGGAGGGAAACACACCAAGGCCCCCACAACCGGTTCACCCGTTGGTTCTTTGGCCTGCATGCCTCCCAGAGATCTTCCCTAGGGCCTTACCCTGTTGGGAAGGAAGGTGCCCCTTCTTGCTGGCCTGGGGCGTCCACATGGCAGACAGCAAAGTGCTGGGTGATCTCCTGCATATCCTCGAAGTTGAAGAAGGTATTGAAACAGGATTTATCTATGAGATGAGAACAGCTGTGGATCACAAGTTCTCCAGCTCTCCCCAGTTCTCCTCTGCCCAGCAGTGCCCGGCCACTGTCCTCTCACTCCCTTCTCAGCAGCGGTCCACTTGAGCCAGGGCTCTGCACAAAGCCTGTGACTCGAGCTCTCAAGGAGACTGCACAGGAGGCCCCTCAGTGCCTGGACAACAGCTGCTTCCCAACTCTAGCAGTGGGTTCAGAGTAGGAACCACCTTGCGGAGGTTTGCTGGGTTTCCTGGTGGTGCACAAGTCATCTACCCACAGTGCTGTCTCCATGCACCTTCTTCCTCTCCCTGATTAGGAGACCCTGACCTTGCCCTGACCCTGGCTAGAGGACATCCTCAGCTGCTGGTCATCACATGGGGCTTTATCAGAACTGCTATGTGCAAGGAGGAGATGCTGCTTCATTTTTACCCTCGTAGTGTCGGGCCCTCATCACTTCTCATGCTATCAACTCAGCACTCGAAGTCAGAGCAGCATGAAGGCTACAGGTTTGCAGAATGTGTGCACCTGTAGTTAGAATCTAAACTTGAGAGGGTATTCCAACACTGGCATTACACTCTCCCTGCCTGAGAGCCTAATCTCATTCCACAGGTTCAGTGTTACTTTTCTGCACTGCTTTTTAACAGAAGTGCAATGGATGTTGTATTTTGAAATATCTGCATATAAATAATGAGAAATCTTCTGGTTGGAAGTCCAATTTGAATATGAAATTCATTTTTATCTCACATATACTTAATACAGATTGTCTAATGATTATTGTATGCAGTATTTTTAGTGTGCCTCTGTGTTGAGTGTGACTTACTACATGAAGTCAGGCATGGAAATTTCTACTTATCACATCACAGCAGCACTAAAACAGCTTCAGATTTTGTAGTATTGTTGTGTTTGAGTTTGGATAATAGGGATACTCAGATTGTACCATGATAGAACACCAACTTAAAGAAGCTAATAATAGGCTGTAGGAAGAAAACTTAATATTTAAGTGAGTTTTTCACAATAAAATTAAGTTAAAACTCTAAGTTTTCTAACCTCAAACATAAACAAAACAATACAAAACACTGTGGCTGAGGTAACTGCAAAGCACTTCAAATGAGCGTGGCCCTACATTCCATCTCCAGTACCACCACAACAAAAACAAGACACAGGAAACAGACTTCGGCTCTGCTTTCATAGAAGTAGACTGATCTGTCTGAAGTGGACGTAACAGAAAGGAGAATATGGTCTAAAATCCCCCAAGCACATGTCCTGTATACTACCTAAGGATGCTAACCCTGCACATGCCAATAACGACGGAGTGTAAGAAAGACTAGCTCTGCTCTATTAAATACCACTGTTTGGGATTGGAGAGCTAGCTCAGTGGTGGAGAGCACTTGCTGTTCTTACTGAGGACTAGAGTTTGGTTCATAGCACCCACTTGGTGGCTTACAAATGTTTGTTAACTGTAGTTCCAGGGGATCTGATGATCCTTTTTGACATTCACAGGCATCAAGCACACATGTGCATGTGCTGTAAAAGCACTCATACACATAAAATAATTTAAAAAAATGAATACTATCTCCCCCATCCCCTAAAAATAAAAATAAAAATAAGAAGGCTGGGCAGTGTTGGTACATGCATTTAGTCTTTTATCCCAGCTTGTGCCAGGTGGATTTCTGTGAGTTCAAGCCAACCTGGTCTACAAAGAGAGTTAGTTCTAGGACAGCCAGGGCTACACAGAGAAACCCTGCCTTGAAAAACCAATAAATAAATAACTAAACAAGTAAATAAAAATAAATAAAAAATGGAATACTATTGTTCCCTTAATATATAAAGATTACACACGATGATAAAAAGTGAAGCTGTAAATCAAATACATACGGTTGAGTCCAATGTCATGGTATGTCAGGATAACTGGTCTGTTTCCTTTTGGTAAGCCTCTTATGGTGACGTGGACCACACCATGGGGTGTTTCGATGTCATGTTCCTGTAATAAGACAATGTAAAATCTCAGAAAGGCTTAGTGGACCATAAGCCCACCAGAAAGAGGCAGTGTTACATACACTATTTGAACTTTCTAATTCTACTAATTAAATAGATAATAAATAAATATACAGAAAAAGACCCCTTGTTGTCCTCAAAGCTCAGTTTTAGGAGTCCAGGAAATCAAGGATTTGTTGATAAATTTGTAATTGGTAATGGAAGGAGATCAACAAGTTGGATAAAGAACCAGGAAATACTTAGGGAAAGAACAGTTAAGGAAACAGAAGATGTGAAACTGTTCCTGGGTAAAAGCCAAAGGCTTCAAAGATCTTGAACACATGTTCAGCTGTAGATAACTCTGGAAGCTATCAAAAGGAATGTTGGCCTAGAATCCTTCTCTTGGATGTGCCTTACATCATCTGTCACAAGAGTGACTTCTGGCTGTCATGTTCATAGCATGAATTGTAGAATGAAACCTTTGGACCGTGGCTTCCTAGAGGTAGGAAGGCATCTGGTCATGTGGTGTCAGCATCTTTCCCTAGGAATCTGTGTTTGAGACTACATCTGTGACTTGGTGTTTCTCTTGAAACAGGAGTAACCTTGGGAGCTTCTGGGTGACCTGCTACTACTCTAACTCCTGGTCCTCACTGTGTGTGCTCGTAAGACATCCTGGACTGCTCCTGGTTTAAGGTGTGCTGGGCAGTTTGTTCTATATATCCCGTAAGACAGGAACCAAAGCGAAACTAAGTTGAGAAGCAGAGTAGAGCTCAGCTCAGGGAACTGAGTGAAGCCAGAAAGGTTTGCAATTGGTAGTGTTGGGGTGCCTGCAGCACAGAGAACGGTGGATAGGAAGGGAGAGGGGGGCAGAACGCTGAGGTCTATTCTAGTCTTTTCCAACTTTTACATTTCTAAAAAAAAATTATAGCACTTAGCCTCATGAATTTCTGCTGAAGTCTCCATCTGTCTCAGAAAGTTTCACATGGATAAGAAAGAATTAACTGTGCCACAGATAATCTTAACAATGCAATGGGCTTCCAGTATAATTTTCTATTTAATAGTGAACTTCACTATAACTTTGTTTTCTCTCATGTGGAAAATACAACTGCTGCCTAATAGGACATTAGTATGTTTCAAATCCTAGGCTCCAGACCAGAGTAGAGAGAGACCTTTTCTGATTCATGGTATGCATGCTTCACTATTTGATGCTCCTGGTTACTGATTTTGTCTATGAAAGCTCACTGCATGGCTTACATAAAGGAAGGAAGAAATGAAGACTAGACTTGAATATTATGAACTGTTATGATATGAAGCATAGGGTTTGGATAGAAAGACTATAAAGATATAAATCCCTGTTATTGCATGGGTATTTATTTATAGACATGCCAGATTTACTGAAGGGATTTACACA